TTACATTACACAAACAGCTCTAAAAACACACAAACAACTCTCAATGTCAGTTGAAATACTGTATTTCTTCGAGAAACTCTGAAAATATCTAAAAGTTACTAAAAATCGCAGCAAAAATTTATAATTTCAATAAGATACACATTAAAAATCCTTCGGAACGAAGTTCTGCAGAATATGCAATAAATTCAATAACTCGACCAACGGGCCGAAAACAAATCAGGTCAGCGCATCAAATTATCGATTAGTATCTTCTGGATTCATTGAAAGTACAATTAGAAAATTTTTCACTCGGCTGAAAGATACCTGGTGCCGGTGCAAAACTCAAAAGATAAACATTTGTCCGCCACGCTAAGCCTAATCGTAGTATTTGAAAATAAAAGTGTTCACAACTTTAAAAATATCAATCCCAAAAACGTAAAAACAAGCATATGTATAAAGAAAGGTGTATACAATAAAAGCACAGTCACTAAAGTTATTTGCACGGTCTTTAAATAGCTAAACCAGCATAAAAACTTACTTACCTATGCTAATGAGCTGTACGGCAAGCTTCGAAATTTAAAATTCTTCAGTCTTCTAAAATAATGAACATCTTTCAGTCAGAAGCATAAATACTTGAACCGGAACACACCAACAATCAAAATAAAACACTTTCGAAAAGATAGAATCACTTCTCACCAAAATATAAGGGTTTTAATCAGAGCACTCACAAACACCAACATGTCTGCCGACCTGCGCAAAGAGCAAAGTAAGGGTATACTAAATTACCCATTTACGCGCTTTCCTTCGGACTCCCTTAACCGCTTGACATTAGAAATTACCGTATTCCGGAAGATCGACGCAGAGCACTCTGTGAAGTTACTGGCTAGGATCTTCTGTATGTGGTCTCAGCCAGGACGGTATATAATCAGTCTTCACAGGATTAGAACCGCTGTTAATTCGGGGGACGGGTTCAGTCTTGGCAGGGATCGTAATGGTACTGTTTTGTCCGTTCCTTGGCTGTTGAGTTGGAAGGTTGTCCTTAGGGGTTTGACTCCCCTTGGTCAACTCTAGGGGACGGACTACGTCGTTCTTTCTATCTTTTCTGGTGGATGCGCAGCCGTCTATATGTGACTTGCGAAAGTAAACCCAGACTGTATGTACATATACAGGGGTTGGACAAAAATATGGAAACACCTTTAAAAAAACACGTTTCTTTGCTTAATATGGTGTAGGAAACCCGTTGGCATCCAAAACAGCTTGCAGTCTTCTCGGAATGGATAAATACAGTTCCTGTATGTTTGCCAAGGGAATATTATACCATTCTTCCTGCAAAACGGTAGCAAGTTCGGATAACGATGTTGGCGGTGGATAACGAGAACGCACTTTCCGTTCCAATGTAGACCACAAACGTTCGATAATATTCAGGTCTGGTGACTGTGGTAGCCAGGGGAGATGGGACAACTCATCCTCGTGCTCAGAAAACCAGTCCTGGACAATGTAAACTGTGTGAACAGGGGCTTTGTCGTCTTGGAAGACACCATCACCATCGGGGAACAAAGTTTGTACCATGGGATGAACTTGATCGGCCAAATGTTCAACATAAGTCTTGGCAGTGATGTGCCCTGACACAGTTATCATGGGGCTAGGAGAAACCACGATATGGCTGCCCAAACCATAATAGAACCCCCGCCATGTTTCACTCTTGGCAACAAGCGTGCTGTATTATAGGCTTGAGATGGCGTTCTCCAGATGTAAACTCGGCCAGAAGGGGAAACAATGTGAAAGAAGACTCGTCAGACCATATTACTCGCTTCCACTGCTCTATAGTCCAGGCTTTATGACTTAAAACCCCACCTTTTCCTGTACGGGCATTAGCATCACTGATGAGTGGCTTCTTCAATTGCAGCACGGCCAGCAATTCCCTGTTTATGAAGCTTCCTTCTAATTGTTTTGGTACTCACAGGTTCGGTAAACAACATTCCTTTCAGCAGTAACTTTTGCAGCTGTGGTTCTCTTATTTTTCGTCACAATTGCCCTTAATGATCGTCTGTCACGATCACTCAGGACACACTTTCGTCCGCCTGTGATTTAGCAGATGATGTTTTTCCGCTTTTCAAATATGCGGAATAAATCTTCGATACAGTACCTCTTGAAACACTAAACACCTCGGCTACCTTGCTTACGGAAGCACCTTCCATACGTACTCCAACAATTTGCCCACGTTCGAAATCTGTTAACTCTGACATAATGCAATGACAACCTCACATAACAGTACTCCGAACTGTTTAGAACATTTACGAAGTTGTATAGGTGGCGTCAGTAGTCAAAACGCCAGTGCCACCTACATATTTCATTAAAATCAATCTTTCTTTTCAAACATGCATTTCACAAGGTGTTTCCATATTTTTGTCCATCCACTGTATGTCCTCTTGGGTTGGCCGGGGGTTATGTTTCCTTTGATCGGTTGGGGCGATTAACCGTGTATGGCTAATTTAAGCTGGGTCTGGGTGTCCTTTCTCCCTGGTGACGGTTTAGTCAGTAACAGATCATTGTTGAATTTTACACTTCGTTTTATACCAGACATTGTATTCTTTCACAGCTAGATATGGTACAGCGTCAGCTCAACAACCTTCGCAGGACAGTTCCAGAATCCGAGAACGACAGGCAGTTCTATCGTCAGCAAATGTCTGAACTGTCCAACGAGTTACAGGATTTGGGTTCTACGTTAGAGAAGATGGAGCGAAATGCATACTATGCAAGACGAAGAATGTTAAGACACTACGGAACCGATTTCGGTAGCACGGGAGCCCTTCACCTTTCTTCTTCCCATCCAGCTATATATTCCTCCAGTGAAACTTTAAGCCAGTCTTCAGGAAGGAATAGCCTCAAGAAGAAGGTTTACCATATGATGTCTTCGCCAACCGAGAAGCTCAGGAAGAGGCATCTGTTTGGAGAACTAAGGGCTGTAGCATCGTTGTCATCATGTAAGTTTGAAATTTAAATTAATAATGTGGTATTTCAGTATTAAAGCGCCACCGCATGCACTTAGGCGACATTTGGGAAATTTTAAAAAGCACTATGGCAACCTTCAGAAAACGAAAAACCACAACATTGGAAGCATAATAAGTAGCATTTATTTTCCTGAAGTGATATTTATTTATTTATGTAAGAATAAGATTTATTTACATTTGTGGAGACTATAATTCGGTAACTGCTGGTAAATATTCATACAAACTGCAAACATTTTCTTTTATCACACACATTGCCACTAAATAAATTCTAATAAATATGAATCCAAGTTTTGCCAGCCATTTTTCGTTGCCAGACATTTGTCGCAGCTTAAATACGAGGGTTGAAACTTTAATAGTGGCAACACAGCTGAAAAAACGCTACGCAACAAAACCAAAGAATATCGCGTATACCACACGTAAACTACATACCTACCTTACCTCTCAGCAAAAAGACTCGTCCTGCCTATGTCACGCGCATGCGGAGTGACGCGAAAAACGGGTCCTTGTATGGAGCGCAAGTTGTGACTGATTTGTTTAAGCGATGGGGCTGGGCAGTGCTTTACCATCCACCATACTCCTCAGATCTAAGCCCTTGTGACTATGACTTAATTCCTAAGATGAAGGAACCACTTCGTGGCACTCGCTTCCAAACTGTTCCTGAGATTCTTGCGGCAGTAGACCGGTCCATTCAAACTATCAACAAAACAGGCGCTGCTACAGGTATTCTGCGACTTCCACATCGTTGGAAACCGGTTGTACACAATGCTGGCGACTATATTGAAGGACTGTAAAACATGGCGACATGAATCACTTTTGTATTCCTTGTAAATAAATAGTTGCCACTATTAAAGTTCCAACCCTCCTATAAAGCTTATAAGTAATTTTATTAGGTGGTCATTTTTACACTTTTGCTTAGTATACAAAGTCCATGCTCTGAGATGAAATTAGGAATTACCATTTGAGTTCAGTATACGAAGTCCGTGCTATTGTAAGAAAACCGCAGCTTCGTTTTCAGTTGATAATAAATTAAATATGATCTATATTTTAGTGGGAAAATCAATAATGAAGAGGACGAAAGAATGAACAAAATCGCGAAGAACCTGAATTTCAAATTGACGGCAAGTTTAAAGTTGCCAGCATTTAAAAAGGAAATAATTAACAATAGAACAATATCAAGCTATGTTTTACAGGAAAATCACGCAGAATCACAACGTCGCAACACAATAATCACAACGTCGCAACACAAGAATCACAATATCGCAACACAAGGATCACAACATCGCAACAGAGGATTCACAACAACATTACAGGAATTGCAACATCGCAAACAAAACAGTCTGAAAATCAAATCCGTTTCAGGTTAAAAATCTGGCGATTATTCATTCCAAACTAGGCGACTAATTTTCCAATTTTAGCTATAGACCGAAGTGGCTGCTTTAGTCCTGAAATACTGTAATTTGAAATTAAATTTTAAATGAACTCCGCCCTTTATAAATATCTGATACCCCGGCTAAATATCTGAAAATACCATACGTCTGAAATCAAAAGATGCGAATCTTTAGAACAGAAGCGGACACATAGTTGTGGCCGAGGGCCTAAAAATGTTTTTTGGGTATTTTTCCGTTTCGCCGGCGCAAATCTCGCCAAGCAGACTTTATTGGCGACAACACACAGTATACGGATAAAAAATTTTAACAAATGTTAGTTCTAAGAAATTTTTATTTTGAAGATATGAACATTTTAATATTGCTTAAAATTTTGTAACAAGACATTAATTTAAGAATTTACTATGCTTTCGTGCTTTTTTTTCATGGAATTTACTATACTTTCAACACCCTGATTCGCAGTTCCTTGTCACGTCACCCCAAGTGATCTCATCTCCCGTAAACTACGCTACAAAAATCTAATTCTCTCAGTAATGATCAACATTAATTTCAAGTTAAATCTTAATTTGGAATACAAGTTTAAATGCAAGAATTATTTCAATTCGTACGAATAGCTTACTCCAAAATTATGTAAAACCGCAGTACTTTTACTTCGCTAGTGCATTCTCATTAGAATGGATGAATTTAAAGGTATAAAATTTAACTATCTGGGTAAAAATTCTATGTAATTGTATACCAGTATTGAAAGAAACAATCAATATGATAAGAAATGGCTGCGACTTGTTTTGAAAATGATTACCAGCAAGGAAATTTCGTTTGGTATCGGTTGTACTATTTTCGGCGACTTTATCGCTTGCGCCGGCAAAATGGAAAAGTACCGTTTTTTGCAGTGTATCATGTGGGCGGAGTTGCGACAATCTTTAAATCTTTAGCGATTCTCCTATTGTTTACAGGACGCAATGGAAGGAAACGCCAAGTAGAATTTTTTTTTTTTTTTTTAATTTACGATTACAGTTTAAAAAAAATTAAAACATAAATCAAAACTGGGATCTGTTCAAATGGTCATCAAATGATTGACATGTCTATTGTTTCATTTTCAAATAGAGAAGAAACGTTGATGCTGTTGCCAATGCTCACTTGCCTGAGCTATAAGTCAGCCCAAGCCAACGAAATTCCAAGATACGCCTCCCGTTGGCAACAGCCTTGAGCACCTTGCAGGTGACAGCGCGATTTAGCTCAGTTCCGTGCCCAGTTTTGGTGGAGAGCACCCTGGCGGGACGGGTCCGATGGTCTCTCACCGCTCTTTCCCTACCAGCAACCTCTCGAGAGGATGTTCGGCTCGCCGCATATTTTGAGTGCCCTCATGTGGCATGGACACTATACATTTACAAACATCCATGCCTTCTCCGGGGCACTTCGGCACGGCAGTCAGCGACGCTAAATTTGATTTTGATGCGATTTCAGCGCAAAATCGAGTAAGAAAGAGATGAGAATGGCGTTGCACAGGATTTCATACCGGACCGAATCTTTACAAATAATTTTTTTGAGTGAAATATACTCGCATTTTTCCTTCTTTCCACGTAAGCGTCTCAGCTAGTTAGATACAAGCATTGATTGGTTATGAAAGACTTCTGCGTTGGTAACCTCCATGCTCGTAATGAGCCACTTTTTTTTTTTTTTTTTTTTTTTTTTATGAAAACTCAGAAGTGGCCCGGGGTGTTTGGAAATTTTGTATCGCGTGACAAATGCGAAAAACTGCCCTAAACCTTTGTCCTCCGGAAGTGTTTTTAATGTGATGTGTGATATGGCTGTTCGGATTTGCTATTTAATCACACCGATGGCTGTGAGGCATTATAATTGTTATAGTCCGACCGCCTCATCCGCGATCATGAGTGCAAACACGCATGCGCCATTCGGATCGAATTCTTCTCAAAACAAGGTGGAAGGATGGGAACTTTCTTTTCCTCGAGCATATAACTTCTCTCTTTCTGAAGAAGAGAAGATTTTCACGTGACTGTTCACGTCGCAGTAAGTAATGACGCCACTTTTGGAAGAGATTGTGTTTTGGCAGAATGCCAACCAAGGTTGCGTTTGAGACGGTCCAACTATACCGAGTAGTAAATGCAGCAGAAAACCAATCTAACTACTTGGGCAGAAGGGAGTTACTGAGCAGCAAGTTGATTGCAACGTTTTTTAGAGAGCAGAAAGAGATGCATAAAGTAGAGTAAGACAATCTTTCAAAGAAGAGGTCGAAAAAAGATTAAATTATAAATTAATTATTTACTTGTATATTCTTATGAAAAATCTTAATTATGCAAATAATATTAATTTTTGTAAGTACACTGCGAAAAAAAAAAAAAAAGAAAGGGAAAAAAAAAAGAAAAGAAAAAGAAAGAAAGAAAGAAAAAATGAGATAGTTCTATATCTCCCGTTCTACTGGTCCGATTGACGAAGTTCAACTTGCGTATTTCATGTCCCGAAAACGAGACTTAGGATATGTGTTAGATTTATATATAGCATTGTTTTAATATATGTATTTCGACACAAAATCGGACTCTTTCTGAAATGACATGCCAGTTGTTTTCCATATTTCGATTCTACGACTCAAATTATGACAAACTGCCAAATTTTGTAAAAACCGCACGAGAAGTTTTCTAAAAATTAGCTCTCAAAATTTTAGCTCCTTAATGTTAATTGAATTTGATATATATTTATGAAAATCTATTTTTTTACTAAACGTACTTGATTCCTTCTTCCAGAATTCGAAATTTAGGCTTCATCCAAATATAATTCGCACATCTTTTATTATTCATTTTAAAAATTTGTATTTTTAAATATTTTTCATAAATTTTTTGAAAACCTTTTTGTGTTATAACCTATAAAAATTTTAACATCATCTTAAAGTAGATGTACTTCTAAGCATATCTGGAAAAAATTAGAGTTTTTTTTATTCAAAACTTCTTAGGAATTACGTGAATAAGGTTACGATAAATTAAGAATTCCGCCAATCTTGGCGCAAACTGAAAAAAATCCGCCAAGATAAATTTTAAAATTTCTCTGTAAATTTCTCACCAAAATTACAAAAAATCACAAAATTTAATATCTAGGCAAAATTTGAGTAGTAGAATCGAAATATGAAAAAAAAACGGATATGTCATTTTAGAAAAGTCCGATTTTGTGTCAAAATACCTATATTAGAATAATTGCTGTATATAAATCTAATATAGATCCTAGGTCGCGCTTACGAGAAAAACGCAATTTGAATTTCGTCAATCGGCTCAGTAGAGCGGGAGATACAGAACTGCCCCCCCCACCTGTTTTTTGCAGAGTCCCTTTCTCCCTTCTTTCTGCGTACCTTCGTAGTGTAACGGTGGCATACTCGGCGTGTATTCGAGAGGTCCAGGTTCGAGTCCTGGCGAAGGATTGCTCATTTTTCAAGTCTACAGCATAAAAAAATCTAATAAATCTAGAGTTAAGAATTAAAAAAGGTGTTAGATACCAACCTCTCGAGAGGACTTTCGGCTCGCCGCATATTGAGAGTGCCTTCATACCGCGCAGACACTATACACTTACAAACATCGATGCCTTCTCCAGGATTCGAACCCGAGCCCTACGGTACCGCAGTAGGCTACAGCTGTACCATCTGGATTTAATATTGAATATTTAACTGTCATTATATTCAGATAACAAAATGTAACCAACAGAAATACTTTAAAGATACCAAACTCTAGATTTCATACAAAAAATAAATACAAATTTGAATTTTTTTATCTTTGCAATATTTTATTACTAATATTACTACTATTGTTTGTATATGATTGAATAAATATTTAGTAAGCAAAATTTTAAATGCTTTTCTTAATTCTGGTCCGTCAGCTATTTCCAAATTTGTGGGTTCGGCCTGCATACACTTTGAGACCGCTGCATTATGTTATGCAATACTAATTCATCCTATACTAGTACTAATCCTACACAAAATTTTTAATACCAAGATAATAAATAGTTTTTCAACATTCGTTGCTGCACAACCCCCATGCCCCACGCCCAGCGACTTAAAATGTTTACGTTTAATTAAAGCTTGGCAGTCCAGTCACCTTAACATTCCAAACAGCAATGTGACCTTTTAACGGTATGTCGTCCGCTTCGCCTAAATGTTTTACTGCCAATTAACTACTTGCTTGATGAATATTCTTCTTATTTATTGCCATCTGCTTCTTTTTCCATTTCTAGTGAATATTAAATCAACTTCCCACGCGAGCTGTGAAGACGTCAACATCTCCAAGGATGCGAAACCGTGGAAAGGACCGTTCAAGTTTTTAGGAAACTTAATGGATTCCCGTATTCGCAGGAAACTTTGGGGATCCACAAAACGGATCAAGTCCGAAGACAATATCCTCGAAGAGAAAAAGGCCAGCAGTTCCTTGGATATCAGCAAAGACTGTAATGGATTCAATACATCCGGGACTGAGGATAACTTGTCGTCCTCCTCCTCCTCAGAATCCAGCGATGAGGAAGAGGTGGAAGAATCCGAAAAATGGGTGTCAACTGTTCCGGCAAAGCACGTGTGGAAAGCTCCCGTTGTTAGAAAAGTTGCTAGCAGTCAACGCGCACAAATCGATCCAGCTATCTTGGCAGAGATTGAGGTAATTAATTATACTATTGCCTCGACTGATTAATTAAATTAATTAAACATTTCATACATGACTAATGCGTATTTACGTATTAACGTAACCACCTTGAGGAAAATTAAGAATTCGTTACAAAGGAAAAGGCTAAAGCCACTTATCGGTTGCAAACTGTCGATTTTGGCAACTTCCTCTTAAAACGATTGTCAGACTTCCGATAATTACCGTCAAGTCGGCAAACTTAATCAGCGTATCAAAAGAAAACAAACTTAAGTTAAAATACAAATTTTAATTTTTAAATAAAGATTATATAATACATTAAAATGGCAAAACAGATGCGTTTTTCGCGAAATCATTCTGCAGACTTTTTCCATGTTCTTCTCCTCATCTACACATTAATCTATTTTTGCTTTAAAAAAATCTGATATGTACACCACATGACTTCCTTGTACGGAATATTAAATTATACGCATTTTTTCTTGCATTTCATTTAAACTTATTAGATTGAATTAAACCTACTTCGCCGACAGCGCATAAACCACAATAGAATAAATGCATTCTTTAAAATTCACTTTGTTTACCATAGCGACACTCTGGCGCTATGTTCACTTAACAGTATTATATTTCGTTCATATTATAACTCAGAATGCACAAAATTTATATCATTTAAAGAATTATCTAATCATTGCAACATGTTCTATTCAAATACTATAATAAAGCTAGAACGATGTATAAAAGAAATGAAGCAAACAAAATAAAAAAGAAACAGTTTTTCACAGACGATTGAGTATTTCTCATTCAATCAATTCAGTTTTCACTTCGCGACAAGGCAAAAATACATAAAAACTCAACATATATGTATTAAAAATTACGAAGTAAATCTTAAACGCTTATTTCCTCGAAAAAATTCCAGAAAGTAAGCATGATTTAAATAATAAATGAAGGAGTTATCTTTGTTGTTGCGAAGCTAAGTTTCTGTAGAATGGCAACAAATCCGCTATCCTGCTGTTTCAAATGTAAACAAGAGCAATGGCCGCCATCAAACACATTATTAGGCTTAGCGGCACTTAAACAATTTTAAAATTGTTGATAATTCTAAAAATATTGCATACAGATTTACTAAAGGCATAAAAACCTTAACCGAAAGATAAGAACATAATTCAATCATTTTTAAAGCAAAAAATGTACAATTTACAAACATATAAGAGTAAAGAAACTGAGATCACTGAGACGGGTAACAGAGTGGATATATATATAAATATATTTATATATGCATTTGGTGCGGCCGATTGCAACCAAAATACCAGGTGCACATCTACATGTTATAGCAGTCCTATATACAAAATTTCAACGTTCTGATGCTACTCGTTTTTGAGTTATGCGAGATAGATACGCGTGTACATACGTTCGTACAGACGCCACGAAAAAATTCTCTTCATAATTCATTTTAAAGCAGTTTCATAATTTTTTTGGAGGAAAAGAGTGTTTTATTCTGTTCTTACATACAGATATCACGCAAAACATCGTTAAATTGCATTTGAAAGAGGTCAAAATGGGATATTTTCGTTGAAATATGCTGCCTGAAACTTTTCGCGATTACAGTACTTCCTTTTTACTTCGTACAAGGAAGTAAAAATTAGAAAATAGCACAAACTTGGCATCGCGCATCGACTATTTACCAAACGCGAACCATATTGAACAATATAAATAATGGAAATCTTATTCATAGAACCTTACAGAATTCGTGCTCTAGAAAACAATGGCTGGCTTCAGCACTGGCAAGAATATAACTCGCAGTATTATTTGCATTAATTAAAAAGATTTTTTTACTTTAATAATCTTTTCATGATTACTAGATTATAAGTTTAAAGTAGTAAAACTTCATGAGAATATTAATAACATAGTTTTATAATTTCTAAATCTCTTGTGCGAGAATTTCCTCTGCGTACTAAATGTAACAAATTTATAAATATTAATAAATTTAAAAAGTTTATAGTTAAATATCATTTAATAGGGAACAAACTGACCCAAAAAATCAATCGTGTTATTCTTATTTACTTACTAACCGATCTTTCAAAGCAAATTCAAAATGGCGGCAAATATCGCACACTTTTAGATCAAATATCTCGGTCAATTTTTATCGCATTGAAATCAAACTTCTTGTGTTTTATTTTTTATAAAGAGGTCAAACTTTTCCTAAATATAATCGCAGGGCAACTTGTAAAAAGTTAGATTCCGTGTTTTAATACTGTTGCGTGGATACGGGTTCGCAAGAGATTGAATGCACACAGCTTCAATGAAAAGTTGACAAAATTTATTTTAACAAAATAAACACTTTAGAGATCTGGAACTTTCCACAAAAATAGTATAACTTTTCACAGTATCACAGAGTGCAATCAGTAGTTACACTTCAAGCTGCTATGAAGGTCAAACACAAAGCAATGCAAAGAGAAAACTACCCGGAGAACTTTCAATACTTCAAACTCACGCTGAGCTTTGGTTAATTGGTTTCAGATTGCAGCAAAACACACTAGGGCTATCTGCCTAAGAGGAGAGATGACTTCGTAAAGAACTTTCTAAGAGGAACCGGCTCGTATACGCGTTACACTTGGGGAGAATCGCAAAAAAAATCATGCAGTCAACCCGCTGCTTGCAATCGAACCCATGTTGAAACTACCTCTGTTCAAAGACTTTACCGCTTGGTCGCTGGAGGGCCACACTGAGCTAACAGCTAACAACAATGAGCAGATGTTCTCACCGGCCTTATATAGTTTTCGCCCGGCCGTCGAGATACTTCTAGTTCTTTCTGCTTCTCGAAATAACTGGAAGGCAATATGAGGGTCGAATTATAGTTACAGCTAATATACTGATCAATTACATTTATTCAATTACAATACCTATTACGGTAATACAAGGACCGGACCAAAAATGTCTCGAAAATTTCTCCAAGTTTGGCGATTTTGGGCAATTTCTCGCCAAATTTAGCGACAATGTAAGTCGCCGAAACCGTTCCAGCTTGGCGATATCTCGCCAAATTACCGAGATTCCCATTTATTCAATGTTAAACAGAATTGCCCCCGTATTCTTATTTTCCCGGCATAGCTCCCTCTCTTTCTCTGTATGTTTCATGTTACACTACACAGAAAATACAACAATTTCACACATGATTCCATTCAAATAATTCATCTATATACAAAATTCGTAAACAGGAGTAACTCTTCGAAAAATCTAGAAATGGAGTTAATTATTTTACACTGCAGTCTAATTATTCAAAGTTTTGAAGATACAAATCGAATAAATTTTATTAGTACTCGTCAAAAGATAAATATTCACAGTTCATATTTTTGCATTAAGAATAGTTGATTAGTTTGGGAACATATTTTACACGCAAACAGTTTTTGCTTTCTCCTCGTAGCTGAAAATCGATAAATTTATGGGAAAAACCAGACTTCCGATAAGTATTTACAATTTGTGATGAAGATAATTTTGTAATTTTCCTCCATGTCTACAAACTTTATTAAAGGCATCGTCATAAGGTGCTGTAGCTGAAAGGTGTAGTAAAAAGCAAAGAATTTTAGTTATTTAAATACAAATATTGTTTTGTACGCGTGACAAAAATATCTAGTAAATAAAAGAAAAGAATAGTGTCACGAGTTTTGTATCTAGTTAGATATTTTAGTAGGATTATAATTAGAATTGTTTTATTTCTCCTTGAAATACAGCTCGTGATAAATTTTAGAGAAAGCTACGCCGAAAAAATAAAAATATAAGAGCACGTGCATTTAACATTGAATAAATAAATATCTCTTTTATTTGCATTGAAATTGAATAAATGTAATTGACTACTGTTATAACTATAATCGTAATTCCACCCTCTTGTTGGTTTCCAGAAATCTAGAGAGGCAAAGAAATTACTAGAACTCTTTCGCAAACGACTGAAAGCTTTAAAAAGCCTCAGGAGATACACATCTCAACTCAATTGTTGTTTAGTTAGCTGCTGTTGTTATTGTTGATCGGATTAGGTTTATCTGCGCTGTGGATTGCGTTCTATTTAACGCTTTAATAGCTTGAAGGATAACTACTGATTATCACTCGTGATATTGTGAACACCTGTACGAATATCTCATAGCAAAATTCCAGCATTTTGCTATATTTCTGTTGATAAGAATAAATTTTATTAACATTTTATCGGACCTGTGTATTCAATCTATTTAGAGCCCGTACGCAAGCAACAATAGTTTACTAATTCAAAAGTCAAACAACAAAAATCAGCGTTTTCAAATTTTCACAGGACTAGTTTCGATGGTTTTACCGAACCACCATCCTCAGCTGCAAAAGCGCAAATGAACGAGATAGGATAAAATGATTAGATAAGATAAAGAAAGTCAGGACAGGAGATAAGCTAGCGGCGCCATTCAGTTCACTTGAGACTTGCAATTCTCTTCCGTTTCTCGACATTCTGGTCACACGTAACACATGCAACTTCAGTACTACGGTTTACCGTAAACCTTCATCGGTTTGCCTTCCACCACACTTTAAATCATGTCATCCGACTAAACAAAAGTTAGCTTCATTTTATTCCTATGTTTTCCGTGCTCTTCAAGTTTGCTCCTCCAAACTATTCCTTGATGGAGAACTAAATTATTTAAAAGCAATTGCTATTGACAGGGGCTTTTCACCCAACATTATTAATCAAGCAGTTAAAAAATTCTCATCTCAACACATTAAAAGGCACACTCTTGTTTTAGGAGATTATAAAAATTCTGTTGTCATTCCCTTCTTTCCATCAATTAGCTATAAAGTTGCACATATTTTGCAGAAATTTAACTTTCGGGTCGTTTATTCTTCCATCAATAAAATTCCGAGTTTTCATACATAAGGACCCCATTCCGGATATGAATTCATGGGGTATTTATAGGATTCCTTGCCAGTGTGTTTTAGTTTGCATTGGGCAAACTAAGAGAGCCCTAAAATTTCACGTCAAGGAACATGAGGCATATGTTAGAAAAAAGGAAAAC